GAGGTACGTTGCTCTTAACCTTACCTACCCTCTTCATCACTTCTTACCGTGAGGTTGTGAGTTCTGTCTTGAGAGTCCTCTCATCGTGAGGTGTCGTGTGCGCTCAACCTTGAGAGTCGCGATTGTTCACGTGGAGCATCTGGGGGAAGACGGGCGGAGTTTCTTGAAGGGCCCTGGACGAAGCACTGGGTCACGGTCACCATGCCAACCCACTGGGTGTAGTACACGCATGCTTCGCTGCAAGTCATTGGTTCTGCTGCTTGCGCATGATARGGGTTAACTCGAGTGTGGCAGCCTCTACAGACGCTTACCAGACCGTCTATAAACATTTCTGGCTGGGGACTCGGCTCTGATCTGGCTGTGATCGTCGTCCTGCTGCGACGTAAAATAATTCCTGATGTCACTTGGGGGCGGACGTTAAATTGCCTCTTGATCAGCCAGATCATCCGAGTGGAAGGCTCGTCGGCGTACGAGGGTAAATAAAAGTGCTGTGGCTGCCTTGCTCGACGATAACCCAAGGCACAGGGGTGGGACCGGATTGCACACCTTTTTAGACACGCTTGGCTTCTGATGCGAAGAAACGTGACACTGTGACTTTGAGAAGAACAAAGGGAGGGGTAGGTTCCAGGTGATAAGTTCGGGGTTTAATTCCATGCTATGAACAGACCCAGTCAGTCAACATTATTTTTATTTTTGATTAGTTAGATGGACAGCCATGTGACATCTGACAGACAACATTAGTTTAAAATATTGTTTATTCCTGATGCTTCCTCTGTTTGAGAACTAATCTTACTTAAAATAGTATTGACGGTAGGAATCTGACTTACCTGTGGACCCCAAACGAGGTCTGTTCCAAAATAGCCACCAGTAATTAGTTGGTTTGTGCACTATGCTGCGGTAGGCATCTTGAATGATCTAGTGTAGGCAGTGCACAATGTTGTAGCCTATGAGCGATAGCGAGGACACCGGAGAGGACGACCGCAGGATCTTGCGATCAGCTAGAGGCCCGATATCTCACGTGTCCCTAGGACCGGGGGGTGATAGGGAATTGTTCCGCCGGCAGCGGGAGAGGCAGCAGCAGAGGAGAGCTAGAGCAGCCGAGGCCAGCAGGGCATAAACTAGCGAGGCCGGTGCTACAGCAGCCAAGGCTACCACAGCCATGAGCACGTCTGCACAACAGACTTCCCCAGCCGGTAGTTCAGGTACCGCCGGGTCTACGGTCGCACAAACCGTGAGTCAGTCCACAGGCTTAATGGCAAGCCAGCCCGCGGTGTTGACCCCAGAGGATGTCGACATCCAGCAGGCAGTCTTGCAAGAGGCACAACTACAGCAGACCTTAGGACAGATAAAAAGAGAGAAGGAAATGATGATTAGAAGAAGAATCAGGTCGCAACGAAGAGTGGCAGACATAGAGTAGTTAGAGACGATGGACCTGACGCATATGGATGATGATGTGAAGGTAGTTAGGAGGGCCCTGCTAGGCGTAATTGAGATGCAGGATTATCAAACTACCATCCTTAAGGACATTCAACAAAGCCTAGCCGTGTTGGCAGGCCGTGCTTAGGCAGCACCATCACCAGCAGAGCCTGGTGCCTGGCCCATGCCATATCCTCCTTTATCTGTCCCACCGGTGACAGGGGTATCCCCATATGTAGCCCCTTCAACGGTTGCAATAGTTTCCCTGGGCATGCCGTTGTCAGGAGGGGTAACAACAGGAAGTAGTTTACAGGTTCCTGTACAGACAATGTTTACTCCAAGTCCGTCACAGGTTGCATTCACCACGCAGCCTGCTGTCTCGCAGTCAGTGCAGCCTCAGGGCACACAGCCCCAGCAGCTAGCACAACAACCTGTTTCACCAGGTCCACAGCCTGGAATGATGCAGGGACCGGGACAAACACAGTGGGTTCCAAAGACGGTCATCGCCGCTCCTAAACCTTTTATAGGAGACAAGAGAGGTGAGGACCTCGACACATGGTTGAGGCCAGTGCCGGTCTACGTCAGGTGCAAACTCACCTCGCCTCACGAAGAACTGTTTGTGGCTGCCTCCTACCTCGAGGGTAGTGCAGCGAGATGGTTGAGCAGTCTAGTTCAACTTCAGGGATATGGTCATGACTTCCGCGCTTGGGCAACCTCCCAAAAATTGGAGGACTTCCTAAAGATGGTGGAAGAAAGGTGGCATGATCCTCAGGAGGCTCAAAGGGCCACTGACGAGATCCTGACACTGCACACGAGGCAGTTTAAGTCAGTAAGGGAGGCCACTGACGCTGTAGAGCGTTTGATCTGTGTCCCTGGGGTACGCTATGATCCTCAGGTCCTGTTGACTTCGTACCTGAGATGTTTTTCACAGCCTCTCAGGAACCAGTTGGCAAAAGAGGCCAACATCAATATGCACAACTTTCCTTCGTTTAGCAAGGTGGCCCTAGACCTGGAAGCAAAGATAGGGCATGGACAAACACCATTACGGAAGGGAGAAAGAAGACACTGCCTCCTAACTGGAAGGCGAAGGGCCGCTTAATGTTTGTCGACAACGATGGTTCAACCATCGAGTTGGACGACAACCTCCAGGAGGGAGTAGGTTCAGAGGCAGGCAACATAGACTCTTCAGAGGGTGGAGTGGTCGCTGCCGTAGCACAAAAAGGTAAAGGGACCGGTCGACGCCCTAGGGGATCCCGGTCGAAGAGTCAAACAGACCCCAACGCTCCTCCATGGGAGAAAGCGGGTCTATCAGAGGACGTGTGGAGAGATCGGTGGGCCCGGCAAGCCTGTATCAAGTGTGGACAATATGGCCATAGCATGTACAAGTGCCGAAATAGGAAGGTCACCGAGAAGATCCCGCCTACGATGGGGCCGGCGGTAGGATCCTCCACTTCCGTTGGTAGCAATGTTGCTAGTTCTTCAGGCACCGCTCCGGGAAACACGTCGGGCCAGTAGGAATAGTAGCTGTTCCTACTAGGGTCGCGGTGGTGGATACACCCTCACCTTCGCGAGAGATGGCCCAAGCTACTGACTCTTCAGTCGTCCAGCAAGCACATTGAGACACATCGACCCTCTATTCGATGAATGTGTTTGAGTCCTTCGAGGAGCTAGAGGTGGAGTGGTCTAGATTAGACTTGCTAGCTTCTTGGACGGCCTTAGTCAAAGCTCCTAAGGGTGAGATGTTCATCAGCGAGGTTGTTATTGGCGGCCGCAAGGCCGGGGCCTATTATGACACTTGCTCGACACGGAACTTTATTAGTCGCGCGTGCGTTGAGAGACTGCGCTTACAGGGGCGAGTGCAGCGCCTGAGTCGACCTGTGGAGTCGACCTGTGCCAACAAACAGCGCATGGTAGTTAACGACTACCTCCAGGATGTAGAGTGTAGTTTCCCGTACGCGGGAGGGGACTTGAGGCATCGTGTCTCGTTCCTAGTGAGCGATGAACTCCCCATGGACATGTTGTTAGGTATGTACTACCTCTCTGTGGCACAGCCCCAGTTTGACTGGGACCGAAAAGTGGTCAAGCATACTTTGCCAGGTGGAGGGACCTCCAGATTACACAAGTTCAAAGCTAGTAGTCTGATCGATTCCCATGGATACATGTGCGCGGCCGCGTTCTATAACTACTATAAGCAACATCGGGAGGAGGGTATGTACTTAGTTTACGTCTCTGCTGCAGGCGAGCCGGTGAAAATGCCGCCGGAGATAGAGGGAGTAGTTGCCAAGTACCCTGATCTATTTGAAGAGCCAACAGGGGTTGTTGATAGGGAGGTCGTCCACGCGATAGAGATTATCCCAGGGTCTAGTATTCCGAAGGGTAGGATCTATCGGATGTTTCCAGCCGAACTTGATGAGTTTCGCCGCCAACTCAAGGAACTCGTAAAGAAGGGTTGGATCCGGCCGAGTGTCTCTCCTTACGGATCTCCAGTACTATTTATACCTAAGAAGGAGGAGGGCACTCTCAGGATGTGCATTGACTATAGGGGCCTCAATGCCATCATTGTGAAGAACAGAGAGCCCCTACCGCGCATCGACGATCTGTTAGATAAAGTGCAAGGGTGCCGGTACTTCAACAAGATAGATCTGAAGTCCGGGTACCATCAGATTGCAATTCGGCCCGAGGATCAACCCAAAACCGCTTTTCAGACCAGGTACGGTCTGTACGAGTTTGTGGTGATGCCTTTTGGCCTTTGCAATGCTCCTGGCACCTTTCAGCACGCTATGAATCGGATATTCCATGACTACTTGGATAAGTTTGTCATTGTGTACCTCGATGACATACTTATTTTTAGTAAGACTGTCGAGGAGCACGTTGCACATTTGGACAAAGTCCTCAGTCTCCTGCAACAACACAAGTTCAAGATCAACGGTGAGAAGTGTGAATTTGGCCGCACCCGTGTCTTGTACTTGGGTCATGAGATCTCCGCGGAAGGGTTGAAGCCCGATAACGCGAAGGTGGCCAACATTCGCGATTGGCCACGTCCTCAGTCTGTGACTGAGATTGGATCTTTCTTAGGAATGACAGACTATTATCGAACTTTCGTGAAGAACTATAGCATAGTGGCCTCTCCTTTGACTGATCTGACCCGCCTTGACACCCCATGGGAGTGGACAGATAAGTGCGAGGCTGCTTTCAGACATCTGAAGCATTCATTAACGCACTATGAAGTCTTGAAACTTCCTGATCTTGACAAGCCATTCATAGTCACCACGGATGCCATCCAATACGGCATTGGCGCCGTGCTCGCGCAGCAGGAGGGGCCAAAGTTGAGGCCAGTTGAGTACATGTCTAAGAATATGTCGTCTCAGAAGTTGCCTAAGTCCACTTATGAGAAGGAACTCTATGCGGTGTACAAGGCTCTCACCCATTGGAGACATTATCTCCTTGGGAGGTTCTTCATCCTCAGGACTGATCATCAGACCCTGAAATGGATGAGAACCCAACCGGTACTCTCTGACGCTCTCAAGCGTTGGATCGAAGTCATTGAGCAATATGACTTTGACCCTCAGTATCTCAAAGGGGAGTATAACAAGGTTGCTGACGCCCTGTCGCGCAGACTAGACTTCTCAGGTGCGCTGATTACTGAGTTTAGTCTTACGGACAATGTTACTCAATCTCTGGTGGAAGCCTATCACGAGGACCAGTTTATGTCTGAGATCATACGCAAACTTGAGGCGAAGGACAAGAAGACGTCCGCCGAGTTTGAGTTGGTTAATGGCTTGCTGTTCCTTGAGAAGGCAGGGAATAAACGATTGTGTGTTCCCAATAGTGAGTCTTTGCGTAGTTTGTTTCTAGGTGAAAGTCATGATGCCACCGGTCATTTTGGGTATAAGAAGACCACAACCAACTTGCTGCAGCGATTCTGGTGGCCCACGATGATGCGAGATGCACAGCTGTACGTGGAGACTTGTCAAGTTTGTCAACGGGACAAGCCCCGTACTCAGGCTCCTCTTGGGCTGCTTAAGCCCCTTCCAATTCCGGAAAGGGCGGGTGAAAGCTTGTCCATGGACTTTATGGATACGCTGGTCACCAGCAAGAGTGGGATGAGGCAGATCTTCGTCATCGTGGACAGGTTTAGTAAGTATGCTAGGTTAATTGCCATGCCGGAAACAGCGAAGACCGAGTATGTAATCAGGCTGTTCAAAGAGAACTGGGTGAGGGATTTTGGATTGCCTAAGTCTATTGTAAGTGACAGGGATGTCAGATTTACAAGTGAGTTATGGAAGGCCGCTGCAGCTAAACAGGGAACTCAACTGCAAATGACTTCTGGAAACCATCCTGAAGCTAACGGCCAGGCTGAACAGATGAACCGCGCTGTTCAACACCTGTTGAGGCATTACATTAAGCCCAACCAGGTGGACTGGGATGAGAAGTTTGCTCTTGTCGCCAGTCTGTATAATAACGCTGTACACAGCGCTACCGGGGTAAGTCCTAACAATCTACATCTTACCTTTAGTCCTAGACTGCCTTTAGACTTCCTACTTCCTGACAACCAGCCAACTATTGCATCGGGCACTTTGGAGTTCGCTTATCGTTACGAATAGAAAATGCAGGAGGCTGTAGAGCACATGCAGAAGGCGCAGACATCAATGATAGAATCTGAGAATAAACACCGCCGCCCTTCTACATTTCAGGTTGGGGACAGAGTCTGGGTCAAGTCTTCAGAACTGGGACAGGAGTTCGGGATATCCCGCAAACTCATGCCTCAGTACTTTGGACCTTGGGAAGTTTTAGACATAGTAGGGACAGATCGTGATGGTCCATCTTATGTCATCCGTATCCCTGGTCATCTCAGAACTCACCCTGTCTTTCACGCCTCTAAGCTCGCTGCGTTCGAGGAAACTGATCAGTTTCCCTCTCGTCGTTCGATGCTGCCCCCAACCATGGACGGAGAGGTCGACATTGACGATATCGTCGACCACAGAGAAATGCCTGTGCAGAAGCCTCCAGGAAGGGGACGTCCTCCAAAGCCAAAGCTGCAGTTCCGWGTCCACTTCAGACATCATACAAATCCGAAGGAGGACCGCTGGTTTACTCGGGAGGAATTGATGCAGACCGCTCCTCAAATCGTTGCCCGCTATGAGAGGGATGTATTGAAAGGAAAGCGCCAGATGGCGGCAGATTGATCTTCTCAGAGGACTAACGAAGATATGGAGGAGGGAATGCGAGGCTACTCCCGCTTAGCCCCTACGGGCCCTTATTTGCAGCAAGGTCGGCCGCCCTAAGTGAAGGCAGGCACGACAGGCCCTCAGGGCCTCGATTTTCAGGGTACCCCGCAACTGGGGAAATTCAGGCAGTTGCGCAGCGCCAGTTGGTTGAATGAATTCAGGGCCTGGGCTGCCTGTGGGAATGAATGTAAAGCAGGCCCTGGGCTGGATACGGGTACCGGGCCAAGCACAGGCCGAAAGCAGTTGGGCACA